GAATCCCCCTTTTCTTGGTTTTCTCTCACCAAGAAACAACAATAAACAGCTACTACTTCTACTCCACCACCTCCAATCCACTTTCATTATCATGGCCATTATTGTTCTTATTCCAAACCTTTTTTAATCTTTATCCCTCTCTCTTTCATGATTGCTGTTGGCTAGCTTGGCACCATCCCCTTTGGCCCATTTTTGTTTTTTCCCCTGAAGCAAAGAGGGTAGTTTTGAGAAAGAAAAAAAAAGGCAGATTTTTTGTGGGTTTTGATTTTTGTTGGTCTTAAACCATTCAAGAATTGGGTATCTGAAAAATCCCAGCTGGGTTTTGGTGAGTTTTTCTTTCTTCTTGTTGTTTGCTTTTGTGTATGTGTGTGTGTGATAATCATTTGATTTGTGTGAGTCTTGTGAATTGTGATTCTTTCTTCTCGGTTGGTTTTTGGTTGAGGATTGATCTTCTTTTTTTTGTTCCTCTGTTATGTGTCCTTTTTTGGGTTCTTAAGTTTGGTAAAATTGCAGGCTACGTTTACTTTTTAGTGATTAATGGTGAGTGAAGTATATTTAATGATAAAAGTAGAGTTTCAATTGAATCACAGATTGGTGGAATTGAATCTGAAAATGCTGCTAGCATTAGATTAGATTAGTTTGGGCATTTGTTGAACTAAAACCAGGTATTCCTCTGAAATGTGTTGTCCTGTTAAGAAAAAATTACATCTTTTTAGTTTCGATTGTTCATACTTAATATTTACATATGGTGAATTGGTTGGATTTTTTTCTTCTACAAGTTTCATCTTTGAGTTAAGAGTCTTCAAAACTGGATATTTTACATATTGTAAATTGGTTTGAAAACATAATTGTTTAGAGTGTGTTTTATAGGAAGATGCTAGGAGGAGGAAAGAATGGAAACTCGGTAATCCCGGGTTTCGTGGAGGAAAATCGCTCGCAGTATGATAACAATACAATGGCCCAACTGCAGTTATTTGGACATGGTGAGTATATTTTCCAGATTTCGGTAGAAATGTATTCGGTTGTGACCTTTGAGTTTGTTTGGCCTCTTTCTTTTGTTACTTAATGCTCTATTATTGATGTTCATCCGGTATTGTCTCAGAAAGCTCTAACCTTGTCGATCAACGATAGTGTTTATTCACTTTTGTGTCCATTATGCTACTGATCAAGACACAATTTTTAACATCTAATGCACCTAGTAGATATTTGATCAAAGTTTTTTTTTTTCTTTTTTCTTTTTGGCTTTCCTATGGAACACTCTCCTTGTTGACACGTGTTTTCTGCTAGTTAAGAGCTGTTTTAACATGTGAAATGTGTTGAGATATTAGGTATGGGGTGATTTTCTAGCTTAGCTCGACGCTTTTTACATCCCCATAGCCTATCTGATCATGTTTGATTTCCATTTTTGCTGGATTGGTCTGGATTAATAAATGTAATGCCGTTATAGCTATTCAGGAAGAGACATCTTTATGAATATCTTGTTCATTTTAACTATTTATCTTGCATTTTATTCTAATCGTGCTTTTCATCTCACTTTCTTGCTTGTTCTAATGCTATCTCAGCTTCCCTTTTTGGTTATTTACACGAATAACATATTGTTTTGGTGATTAGTGATTACCCCTTTTTTTCCTATCGGTTCTTATTTTATCCTTTGTTTTATCACAAATTACATTTGTCATTTGAATATTCTTGCAGTTCCAGTTCAGTATGGGCCCGGTGTTAGCACAGTAAACTATATGGGAAGCAGAAAAACGCCTAATAACGATAACAAAATTAGAGAAGGTGAAAGTTCATCTATGCAGCACAAGCTTCAGATATCATTAAACAACAACAGCGAAGTTGGCCTTAAGGGGAACTTTGTAAATCCTAACAATTATGTGTCCACCGGTCTCAAACTTTCTTGCGAGGACGAAGAGCGTAATTCGTCCATCTCCTCTGCATGTGAGAATATGAAAGGCAATGCCAATATTCCCGTTATGCTCTCTCTTGGTAGCACCGTGAAAATGGAGATTGATCGACAAACTGAAGAATTCGACCGATATTTTAAACTTCAGGTAAACCGTAACATCACATATTTTTCAATGTGCTGGCACAAATGTTGCATTTAGATTTTAGATAATTTCAAATTTCTTCTATTTAAGTGGTATTCATTTTTAGACAGTACACGCCTAGATATTTTTTTGCAGTTTGGCTAGAACTTATTACTTATTAGTATTAGTATCTGCAAATGATGTTATTGTGGCAAATCAACCGTTCAGAAACATGTTTTTTTGTCTCTTTTGTCGAAAAAAACTCAGACCCTTGACAAATAACTTGTCGAAAATTGGTTTCTTGGTTCCGATAAATGATTTTTACACTGAGAAAGGCTATTTTGTCGAAAAAGACTCAAAACCCTTTCTGCATAACTCGTTGAAAATTGATTTCTTGGTTCCGATTAAATGATTTCTACACAGAGAAAGGATATTTTCTCGAAAAAGACTCAGACCCTTGTCGCAAAAACTTGTTCAAAAATTGATTTCTTGGTTCCGATAAATGATTTCTACACTGAGAAAGGCTATTTCAGTATTTTGTAGAAAAAGACTCGACCCTTGTGGCATAACTCGTTGAAAATTGATTTATTGGTTCCGATAAATGATTAAAACACCGAGAAAGGCTATTTTTGTCGAAAAAGACTCAAAACCCTTGTCACATAACTCGTTGAAAAATTGATATCTTTGTTCCGATAAATGATCTCTACACTGAGAAATGCACCAGACTCATGAAACGTGAAAGTCAGACAAATGAACTTAGAAATGGCTAAAAGACACTCGAATTCGAAATTTTACTTGCCTCTAATTTATCTACGTTCCAACTTCCAAATCCCCTTTTCCCTATAACTTCTAAACCCAACCTTTATATACAACACAGGAACAGAGCATCTTGAAAGGCGTGCGAGACATAAACCAACGCCACACGGCCTCTCTCTTAACCGCGCTCGAGAAAGGAGTCTATCTCAAACTGCACGAGAAGGACCTCCAAATCGAGAGCCTCAACCGAAAGAACAAAGAGCTCGGGGAGAAGATAAAGCAAGCATCCATGGAAGCTCAGTCATGGCACCACAAGGCAAGGTACAATGAGTCGGTTGTAAACACTCTGAAGAGCAACATTCAGCAGCTCATGGAACAAAATACGACTCGAGCGCGCGAGGGCTCGGGGGACTCCAGTGAGGTTGACGACGCAGGATCGTGCTCTGACCAAATGATGAGGAGCTATAAAGGACACATATGCAAGGTTTGTGCTAAGAAAGGGGTCTCGGTTTTGGTATTGCCTTGCCGGCATTTGTGTCTTTGTGTCGACTGTGAAGGGTTTGTCGATGTTTGTCCCGTCTGCAAGGCGATGAAGACGGCGAGTGTGTGTGTGTACATGTAATGGCTAATTTATTTATTTATTTTTTTTTTGCAAAAGTTTTTATATAAACAATGTACTANCTTTTGGCTTAATAGTAGGACTATCCTTGAGATTGAGTGTGATTGCCAAAAGAAACAAGAATATATTATCATCTAATATTTTCAACAAGCTATGTTTCTATTAGCCTGTCTAATCGTTAGGCAGACTGCAGTCGTAAGTTCATGCAGAAAGTACATATCTATACTGCTTAATGAATGATATTTGAGGAAGGTTATGAAAGCAGTTAGGTCTTAGGTGGCAAGTTGAGGCTTAGTGCCTACAACGCCTAGGCAGAGATTAAGTAGAGCCTAGGCAGGGTTTTAAAATTATTAGTAAATTTATTTATATTTATCGACATCAAAATATTTTTTATAAAATATACAAATTAATACAGTTAAATACAAAAATAATATCTATTTATAATCATTATATAATTACTGTAAATTTCATGTATAAAAAGAAAAATCTATTCTCATTATAGTATGGGGAAAAGTTGTATGGGCCTAGGAGTCAATTGTGCCAGCTAATTAGTCTAGGTGACTAAATTTGCAACCACTTCAATGGCCCTGCCCTAGATGGTGCCTAATTGTTCGAGTGTCGAGAAGGGAAACAATTATGTATTTGAGTATCAAAATTTGTAAATATAAATTTTACAAGTCATGGTCATACTTAAAAAAAAAAAAAAATCAAGTTTGAAAATTCATACTTTTTTAACGCAATTTAAGTATGATGTTTTCCATAAAGAGAACAATTATGGCATGTTAGAATTATAGCTGTTGGATGAAATGAGTCGCTCATGAGCACGACTCATTATGATTCGAGTCCGGAGCTCAAGCTCATTTAACGCTCGTTTGGTAACAACTCAACTCGATAAGGCTCGAAAAGATGATTTCTTATATTTTTTTATACTTTTTCTCATTAAAGCTCGATTTCGGCTCATTAATATTGATAAACGGGTTAGACTCGAGCTTGATTATAAACTTCATAAGTTACGAGCCGAGCGAGGCTCGCCTTGGGTGGTTTACAACCCTAGTTAGAGTAGAACAAATATTTCGATTAGTTTTTTTTTAGGAAGAAAAAAATGTTATACTTGAATTTACCAATATTTATTTTGGGAGAATTTTATTAGTAGTAATTAGTTATGTCTCTTTTTTTGTTACTAAGCAAATAGCTGGTAAATGGTTCAAACACTTGCAAATAAATTATAACCGATTCAGCCCCTTAGCAAATAGTGGATAATTGATTCAAACACTTAAATAAATAGCTGATAATTGATTCAATCAACTGATAGATGGTAACTAATTGAATTAGCATGTTTGACAAGTTAATTGGTTAAATCAATTATTCATTATCAATATAGAAATAACTAAAATTAGAATCCTCATACAAAGTGTTTAGTAAATAGTTGATCATTTCACATGTAAAATTTCTCTCTTCCGAAAATCTTATATAGTAAACTTTTCCAAACTTGGTATTTTCAAAATTAACATTTTGCATACAAATCTTTTTCCAACCACTTACAGAACAATAAACCAATAAAATTAGAAGTTTGTTAAACTTCTAATTTACACTTAAACATTAATTACCAAACAAGATATACGTTTTGTAATTTTAATTTTTCAATCATTATATATCTCCAAAAAAACAATAAAAAATAAAAAAGGTACAAGACGCACACACACGAAGGTGGAGGAAAACCAATTTTACCCAAAGAGAGGAAAAAAACATCTGCTTTTACCCCTAATTCAGTTATCTCTCTCTATCTCTATTTCGTCTCACTTACATGTTCCCGGCGAAAACGCATACAAAACACACACATTCTCTCTTCATTCTCACTATCCCCACAAATCCAAACAAAACGACAAAAAAATGCAGAGCGCCTCCATTTCACTCATCGCTCCCCTTCTTCCCTCCTCCATCCGCCGGAGGCCCGCCGCCGGGCTCAACTTGCTCGCTCTCCGCCCAGCAGGACAGCTGCGTTTCAGAGATGCTCCGTCCCCGTCATCTTTTGCATCGGGCTGGCTTCCGAGCCCGATTGTCTGTTCGATGAAGCGGAGTGTGTGGTTTTCAGGCCCGGGATTTGGCGATTTTGGACCAAGGTCGGGCAGCGCAGTGGTCAGGGCGGCTGCGGAGGAGGACGCTGGTGCGCCGGCGAGCCCTAAATGGACGGGTCTCGAGGATGCTTTGGTGCTGGGAACGCTCTTCGTGCTCTGGTTCGCGTTTCACGTTTACTTCAGCATCTACAACAAGCAGGTGTACTATTGTTGTGCGTTTCTTTGTGTCTTGTTATGAATTGTTGCGAGTTTTCTGCGGGGTACTGGGAATTTGGTTGTGTGCTAGTGCTTGAATTTTCAATTATAGACTGCAAAAATTTGATATATGGACGTACGTTGAGGAACTTTGTGTTGTAGACTGCAAAGCTTTGATATATGGATGTAGGTTGCAGAATTTTTTTAGTCTATGGAGTAGTTTTTGCTATTATTCTGCTGGGAGTCTTCAAGAAATTATTTCATGTTTTGAGTTACAATGTTGAGTACAGTATACAGTTTCTGACTCTTGATCTACTTGGTCAATGTGCTTGGTGGATATAGTTACTGGCTTACTGCACTTGAATTTGAGCTAGGATTTCGACTGTATTTTACATCCTTTTGTGAAATTTACTTGCTAAGGTTCTGTATTGATTGCTAACAAAAATGATAGGGTTTTGTTTCCTTCTTGTTTTGGTTATAGGTTCTCAAAGATTTTCATTACCCGCTTACTGTCACTCTTGGTCAATTTGCTGCTGGGACAGCACTAGTTATTCTTATGTGGACGTTGAATCTCCACAAAAGGCCCAAAATCAGTGGTGCTCAGGTACTTCATGTTGCGTGCACATTATTATTATTATTATTATTATTATTATTATTATTATTATTTATTATTATTATTATTATTATTATTATTATTATTATTAACAACAGNATCATTTTAATTTTGTTCGTCTCGCATTAAGATTTTTGCATGCAAAATAGTTTGTCTGAGTTGCCAACATGACATTCTCTGTACAGTCTCCTACAATATGGGTGGTTCTCTCTCTTCTACCTGTCGTTAGTGGAGTTGGTTTGGCATCCATGACCGAGGCCTCGTTTAATTGGTAAAAAAAAAAAGATAGGCATGATTTTGTCGATTAATTGTTGCAGTTGCTCTTGTTCTTGATGTTCTATGACTGTGCTTGTTCGTTTTAACATTTCTGCTCTGGATTTATATGATGTTTATAATTTTCTAAGGTCTGGTTTTTGGAGTGCAATGGCCTCGAATTTGGCAAATCAATCTCGCAATGTCCTGAGCAAGAAGTTACTGGTTAAGAAAGAGGTATATTGCTCATTTATGTGTGTGTGTTTTCTTGTCGGATAACTTGTGCTTGTGGAACTGTGAGTGTTTTTCATGTTTTGTTTAACTATACTTCATCTCCAATATTTTCAGGGAAGTAACTTTTTTCCAATCTGTTTCATTTTAAAAACACTCTTGAAATGTGAATGGATTGTTATCTTTCTTCCCACTATGTTGTATTGTAATCATGCAGGAATTTCTGGATGACATTACGCTCTTCTCCATAATTACTGTAATGTCCTTCATTGTGACATTGCCTGCTACCCTTATCGTGGAAGGCGTCAAGTTCACACCAGCGTATCTCCACGCAGCTGTGAGTAAATTGTAAAAGAGAGTTTTGGTTTCAAAATTTCATTAGAAAAAATTACAGTAAATCCAGCTTTGGTGTTGGTTCTTGATAACTTGATAACCGGGACTGATTATTTTTTAAATTTCTCTGCTATTTATTGTTTCCAGGGTGTGAATATAAAGCAGATTTACACGCTGTCACTCTTGACCGGTCTCTGCTTCCACGCATACCAGCAGGTATTCGAGTATTCGTATCAAGAAAACTGTATTTTATTGCGTAAAGGACTGGCCTTGTTTATGTACATGTATGCAACTAGAAATTAATGATGTCATTCATATTTCAAGATTTCCAATAAAAACCTCCGGTCGCAAGTCGATACTTTCTAATATAGGAGATATCCGAACGCACTGTAAACTAATGATACTCGTTATGAAGCTTTTCTTGCTGATAAGGTCTTGATTTCGTTTCGCCACCAATCTTGATTTATGAGACTTGAAATTAATGATGTTTTTCAATAAAACCTCCGGTTGCAAGTCGATGCTTTCTAATATAGGAGATATCCGAATGCACTAAAATTAATGCTACTTGTATATGAAGATTTTCTTGCTGATAAGGTCTTGATTTCGTTTCTCCACCAATCTTGATTTGCAAATTTTCGTGTGCTTTCTTTCTGGTAGATGAGGCTGAGATTTTTTTTTTTTTTTTTTTTTTTTTTTTTCGCAGGTCGCGTACATGTTATTGCAACGTGTATCTCCTGTTACTCATTCTGTAGCCAACTGTGCGAAGCGTGTGGTGATTATTGTGTCTGCTGTTCTCTTCTTCAGGACTCCAGTTTCAATGATCAACTGTCTAGGTAACCTAATGAAAGAAAAGAACTAAAAGAACTCATCAGAAAAAATAACTTCAAAATGTTTATGATTTGCAAATTTTGCACCACTAACTACTTGTTAAGCAAATACAAACCTGCAGAAGGTGATTGTAAGATGTAACACCTTGTTTATTTTTAATCTCGAACTATAATGACATATATTTTACTATAATTAGGTAGATTTTAGATGTTTTTTTTTTTTGGTAATTTATCCTCAATTGATTGAGGAAGTTTGATCGTGCAGGTACCGGAGTAGCCCTTGTCGGGGTGTTCTTGTACTCGAGAGCAAATCGTGTTAAGCTGAAGTCAAATACTGCTTGAGACCATTGTTTTGCAAGCTTTTAGAAGTGCTTGAGACAGAACATGTTTCTCTGTCAGGTGAAATCTGAAGAAAAATTGAATTTTCAACTGTGAATGGGGGAAAAATTATTCAAATTTCTACTTGGTTACGTATATAGTTTTTTTCTCATAAACATACATATGTGTTTGTATGTGCCACTAAAGACAACAATTTGGTGGTTCATTAGTCCTTGTTGAGGGTACACCTAATTGCACTTAAATCTTTTCTTCATCCCTTTAAAATTTCACTTATTTATTAATTATTATTATTTTCTTCTCTTCTCCTTTCTTTATTTCTTTCTCTTTTTTTCTTTTTTTTTTAGGGGTTGGTTTTGATGAATAGAGTGATTGTTTTGCTTTCTACATATACATTCCACTAACTTTTGTACCCTAATTGTTATTCAAACATGAAGCCCAAACCATCTTTTCAATTTTTCCTTTGTTTTTTTCTGTTCAAGGTCAGTCTTCACTCTTGTTCTGACTATCAAAAGCTGGACTGATCATATTTAAAAATAAAAGAAAAAACAGTCAAGGTTCACCAAAAACATATGTAATGGATTTGTTTACTATAATAGATCTACATAATATTATTTTATACTGTAGTTTGGATAAGTTACTTTTTAGTGGAGCTTTCACTAAATTAAAAGAAAAAAAAAAAATCAATCTTGCATTTTCAAGCTACAATTGAACCAAAAATGCCATTTTATATTCCTGTATTATATACCACCAAATGAGATGGTCCTGGATAAGTTTTTATGTAACTAAAGAAGCCAAAACAAAGCAAAAGTTTTAAACTTCATTGTCTATTTACAAAAGCTGAAATTATGGTACCAAATTTATTTGATTGATTAAAATAAAAATAACCACTTTTTTCTGCCTTTTGCTTCTATTATTGAGAGTTCCACTGAAACAAGAAATGCACATCAAGTCCTCAATTATTGTTAGGTAACTTCAGTTAGTTAGTGATACCATCTTTTAACTGAACTAATCAACATACAAGCAATTAACATAAATAACAACCAACAAAAAAAAAAAATTGAAACAAGAAATAAAGAAAAGTACTTGTTTTCCAACAAAATATCTACCACATATACATTCATTTCAATTACTCTGTTCTGGTTCTGCCCATGAGAGCCAAAAGGCTTTCAAATACACTAACAAACACAAAATACTTCACAAATAAGAGTATATATAATATCAACAGCATGAGCTCTAAACTCTAATTAAGACACACAAATGACTACATTTTATTATGACGACGAGCCACGGCTCGTTTCGCCGAGAATCGATAAACGAGGACTCGGAGTTTGCTTTATTTCAGGCCCTTTGCTGCTCGATCTCGGGCTTAGCTCCTTTCTTATCTCGTCCAAACGTGGGCTTCGGGCCACGCGAGAGATTCTCGGGCTGAAAACGGGCTTCATTTCATCGAGTGGGGATTGGTTGGAGCTCGTCACTTTCGGGCTGCGCGCGTGTCGAATTTCACCGCGACTCCTCGTGATAATCTCGTCTAATAGTTCGCCACTATCAATGTTCGTCACTTGTGGCTGATTGACTTGATCCTGTATAAAAAAATTTAAAGCTTTAACCAATCCCCAAAGAAAAAAAAAAGGCAAAAATGTTGTTTAAAATTACTAAGAACATGATCAAATATTCAAAATTACTTCTTCTGCAAAGAAAAATAAAGGCAAAAATGTACTTTTTCTAGTCATGTTGTTTAATGTCATAGCAATTTTAATCCCAATGTTCCAACTTTTAGCCTTTTGGTCATGCGATTTAATATTTTGCTGCAATTGCAGTCATCTCTGAGGACTGAAATTACAACAAATTCCCAAATTCACAGATTTTCGATTAGCAATTTAAGTCTTGTGATTTAAAAATTTGCTGCATAATCAAATTCATAGATTTTCGATTGGCAATTTAAGTCATGTAATTCAAAATTTTGTTGCAATTCAGTACTGTAATTTAAAATTTTATTGCAATTTGAGGATTGAAATTGAGCAAAATATTAAATCACATAGGCGAAATGTTGGAACCTTGAGACTAAAATTGCTATGGCATTAAACTAGCAGGACCAAAAATGTNCGAAAAAAAAAAAGAGCAAAAAAGAAATGAACTTACTTCATACGATAAGTTGTAACTTATGGCAGGGGCCTCTTCATACTCGGCAGCATCCAAGTCTTGCAAATGAGCTCCTTTGAAGAACTTGGGAAGTAGATATTGTCGAACGGGTACAAGCAGCATAATCAGCAAAGGGAAAAGAACACCGGCTATTGGAATCCATGTTATACCGAAGCACAAAAGCAAGTAAAATGTCTGAAACAACGTGAAGAAAGCAATCGTTTTGAAAGGAACCGTCTCCACGAATGTTGCATGGTACTCTTCTAGAACCCTGCCTCGGTTTTGAAGAGTCGAAAAATTATCAGAACTTTTAAGCCAATAGAAATAATTGGAAAAATCTGAAAGAAATGAATCATGAAAGTACATACAAAATCATTCAAGGATAATAATTGGAAAAATACTGCGGTTTGATTCCAATATTTCAGTTAACTTGAAAAAATATAACAGACAAAGAAGTTAGTCTTCAACGACAAATGGGGATTCTTTTTGTAACTAGACTCAATTTAAGTAGTAGTTTGTAATCTATCAAATATAAGTCCACAAACCAAGGAAAAACGAAGAAAATGTAAACCAAAAACCGAACCAAATATTCGAATTCTCAATTCGGCTTGGTTAATGCACGGATGCACCCCTAAGAAATGCATGCACTTACATGTATCTTCGACTGGGAGCCGTAAAAAGCAGTAAAATCCTCTCCCAAAACTGATTTCCAGGCAAGCTTTCGATTGCCATGAAAGCAAAATAGCCCCACAGTACTGAAGTTGGAATTTTTTTCAAGAGAGGCATAGCCGCAACACAACTTCCAACCATAATGGCCTGAAGTAGATTACTGAGCCTTTGCTCCTTAACTTCCACCGGTAAAAGGTCATCAACGTCTTTTTCCACGTCAAAAATGGCCTCGTCAACTGGTGCATCCATGTAACCGCAACTGGCAGCTCGTTGGATTGTCGAGTCTTTCAGCTCCTTTAGTCTCTGTAGTAAAGTCAATCAATACACGAAAGAATCTTGAAAATGTGATAAAAATATGAACAAATTTGGAACAAAACTTAGTCTCAAGTTGAGTCTTTAAGATATATCCGCTCAAAATGAGTTTTTTTTTTTGTTAATCAGAGTTTAATTTTGAAAAAGTTGGTATGATTAGTTGTTAGTGGATTTTGAAGGTATATTAAAATAATATTTAAAATAAAATAATTAAAGTTGATTTGATGTAAAAGTAGGAGAGATGATGTGAAATGATGACTAGTTAAGATTACGTGAGTGGATGAATAGTGAATTAAAATTGATGTGATGTATGAGACTGATTGTTTGGTATTATTTAATTATATTAATATTATTGAAGATGGTGGAGTTAGATTTTGAGTATGAATTGGATGAGTTTATAAACAAATGCACCGTTAGCCTATGTAATAAATCAATACACGAGAGAATCTTGAAAATATGATAAACTTATGAACAAATGTTGGAACAAAAAATTAGTCTTCGCGAGTTAGTCGAGCATTACCAGAGAAGATGGAGCTTGATAAACGAGAGGAGTCTGCATTTCGGAATATGCGTTTTGCATGCTTCTATACAACTGAGATAAACTGGCGTTTTTCCGAATGCTAGCTCGAGCAGTTGATACAAGCTTATTCCTCAAAAGCTATTTCACAATTAAAAGAAAAAATTAAATGAAACAAATTTGAAACTTCTGATACTCAAAAGTATCTAATAAACAGAAATTTAAAAGGATCAAACTCTAAATAAATCAGTACAACACTTGTGTGCATGGAGGATTGACATGAGATTTGCCTTAAGATTGCAAGCCCAAAAAAAAAAAAAAAAAAAAAAAACATTTAAGACTTTCTTCTTGAAATTTTTTACCTGATGCTTTAAAGTTGCCAAACTTTTTGTGTGCATTGGGGATTGAGGAATAACTCCATTGGAAGGAGGTATGCCAATAAGACCACATATTATGACCTAGAGAGCAGCATGAATATCGTGAATTTACTATTATTTTAAATAACATAAGTAGTCACAAAATTAAAGATAAAAGTGGAAATATTAAACTTACCAGAAAGCCTAAGAGAAGAAGGTCATAATGATAAGACGCGGGCTTTTTCAGATTGAACTCCTGTTGCTGGGCCAGTTGAGATGCAACACTGTGATCGAAATAGTAAAGCACGGCAATCATAGTGGCCGGAATAAATGCCCCAACAATATAAAGTGGAGGCACATTCACCATATCCTGTCGATACAAATGCTTAAACGTGTTAAATAAAAATAATAATAATAACAAGAATTTTCTGCAAACAGAAACTAATATCATTTCAAGAATCTCATTTTA